AGAGAGAGAGAGAGAGGAATTACGTCACTTTTACAGCAACTATCATAAACAATGTATTTCACCAATACATCGCACATTAAATAATTCATTTTTACGCATATTTTATAGTGTAAATGATTGATAGTAAAAAAAATATTAATATTAATTGGAAATTGTTCTGTGTTAGCGTGTCAAAATCGAATAATAAAATATCTATATCGCAATCTTCGATCTCCTTTCTCCTTCCTCATTTTACTGCAGAGGCGGGATAAAGGCCATTAACCATGAACACACTGAACGGTCAAGGCGCAGTGCATGAATAATAACGATAGCGCGATATGTCGATTAGTTTATTAAATAATTCATCAATTAAAACGGGCTAACGCGTCAGTAGGGATGAAGCGCCGCTAAACCCAACCTCGGCGGCTCGGCGTAGCTGTGACGGTATCTACCGGATGTCGGGATCACCTCCAACGGCGGTCTGGCACTTTCACGATCGAGTCCAGGATATCTCTCGTGCTCCGACAGTTCCTGGTAAGTCGTGCTCCTCGTTCGCAACTTGTCGCGCAATTCCCGCGAATGTTGCGTACGTTCTCGAAATTCTCGAATCTATTTAACAAAGATATATAAAAGGTCGGCATGATTTTTAAAATTTAAAATTATGCTGCAATTACGTACTAAATTTTATAGTTTCATATCGCGAAAAAAATAATATTTACATCTCTCTGATCTACGAGATTCCTTTGATCTCTGAAATCTCTGCCGACTGACGGATTCTCGTAGAAGCTTCTTGGTCGCGGCCTCGAAGTCTCCGGCTCTGATGGATGTTCAATCGCGTAATGATGAGTCCTGGGTCGAGATCGGCCCTTGTAAGATACATTCTCACGATCAAGCTCTTCTGGCTGATTTCGTCTAATTACATGTTCATGCGAAGACATGGAGTTCATGCTTGAATATTGGCGACCAGATCGATCTTCATGTACTTGTCTAGCTGACTGAACTCTGTCAAACAAATTCTTATAATTTAATTACGTAGTACCAACAATAATAATAAACAATAATAATAATAATTTTATAAAAAAAATCAAATGTAATTCTGTGAGATATGACCACGAGATAATCGTCTTATAAATTTAATGAAATCAAAAATTATTTCGTAAATATTTTCTCCTTATAAAAGACTTCTTCAAAAAAGTTTTTCTTTATTAGGATTTAATAATCTTAGGAGGGACTTAGGAATGCGGATATGTAAAATATTGACATTAATTGCGATTTCTACGAATACTTCCGAACACACCGAGATCAGTATCTTTATAAATCTCTCTTGCGGGAACGCATTTGATCGGTGAAAATGTTTGATACTCGAAACCCGTTCGAGCATGGAAAGCTGGACAAGACCGTATATGTGCAAAAACGAAAAGCGTGACAACGGTCGATGTCGCCTTTAGATTCCTGGGCCGATACTCTCGACGACGATGTTGCATTCCGACTTTTACTCGCGACTGAACAGCGTGCTTTCTGAACTAGAATATTTGCTTAATGCTAAATATTATCATAATATTATAGAATAAATCTTGTTTCTGGTAAGCTTTCTAAATATTAATTTTATTTATAAATCTTGTTATTTATTTTATATTTGCAAAAATATATCATCCATGAAGTATACCTGTGTACAGGATGATGCTCGACGTCTCTCTGCCTGGAGAGAACAGGCCTAGCGATGGCTTCCCTCTCCATCGCCCTAAACATTTCCTTGGCATCTTGGAACCTTTCTCTGGGACTGGTCACCTCGCCAGGATTGACCCTGGGCTGATATTGAGGACTCGGTGATCGTTGTCTAAATTCCGCTGCTCGTCGATTCCTGTTGCAACTCGGTGAAACTCCTCTGTTCGCTTGATTGGACAGCCTTTCCGGGCTTCGTGGTACTCGCGGCAATGTCAAACTTGCAGCTGTCTCCACTTCTGGTAGATAATCGTTATCCTCATTTGGCGCACCCCAATCGTCATCTACAAACGATTGACATATAAATTAGAATTAATGCTCATAATTTCATGCCACTTATTACAATGCATATTTCTTTTCTATGTTAAGATTTTAGTGCATGGCTCTTACTAATTGCAAGATAAACTCAATTATAAAAGAAGATGATATATTGGATTTTTATCTCATATTTATATTTTATAACGAAATATTGCGTAAACTTTTTAAAAAGCTTCTGCTTCTTTTTTTGTGATATAATAAACGGCAATGTGACTGAAAATCTCGCGCAGTGATATTGTCCAATGGTTCGTCCTTCGGCCCGTGAAAAATCGGCCGGCAAAGTTCTTGCGAAATTTGGCATCTCGATGAGGTCAAAGAAGATTTAAAGAGCGGTAGCGGGCTAAGAATGGGAAGGAGGGAATACCATGAGACTTCAAGAGACACGAGGAGGCTGAGAGATGCCTCGGGCTGTGGGCCGAGAATGCGGAACTTTATTCCGTACGTACAACGGCCTCCCACGAGGTCGACTCACGCACGAATTTATGCGCCGTCGTCGTCGTTGTCGTCGTCGTCGTCGTCGTCCTCAAGGCAGCGTCTCATCATCATCATCATCATCATCATCATCATCAGCATAACTGTCATTATCCGTTGCCGTAAACAACAACGACACGGAGCGGCGCTCTCGGTCCCCGTTTTGTCTCGGCCGCGCGTGGAAATGCGCCTCTTCGAAGAAAAATTCCTTTGCGTAACGAGATAGATATGCCGTAAGACACAGAGATGGAATGTCGTTACTGCATTAGGTAAGAAACGAAGGGTGAAATCTAGTCAAGTATGGTCACTTCTCTCCCCCCACCCTTCCCGTCCCGAGAGTTTTACAAAACGTGCGTACGGCTTTCTCGGCTACTTTGAAAACGACATATGATTGTAGAGAGTCATAATTGCCGCGCGTTTTATTCATCGTTGTATGAATAAATTAGTTTGCGAAGCGTTTGCGATCGACGGTGCGATCTTTATTTATCGCGATAACAACACAACTTTCGAGAGCCAATGTAATGCGCGTATAACGGCACATAACGAGATATTAAAAATTTATACACAATAAGACGCCGACGAGAGCGTAATTGATTAGCATCGCCGCGAAGCGATAAGCCGATGTCTAATCTCCTGGCTGGGATCTAAGCAGCGTTAGAATAGTTTCGCGTGAAATGCAGCTACGTCACGTAAGGCGATGCAGAGACGAATCGTGACTATAAGACATGCGAAGGCAGTTAAGTATGTCACGTCGTTTTAAACCGCAAGGATTTCTGGTAGGAGTAAACGAGACGCCGTTCACACGGTGGGTCGGCAGTGAAAAAAATCACAATCAGGTGTTGATCATCGCGGTCCAGCATCTGTCGCGTCTTCTCTAATCATGCGAAACGTAAACGTGACGGAAGGAGGATGCGTCTTCATTCGTCGCATTTCTTCACGATTCCACATTCTACGTATGTCATGTCATTTCAAAATAAATGTCGATCGAACACTGTCAACTATGAAAATCATTCAATATTAAATTAAAAAATTTAAAAATTTCTTTTTCTGCCAAAAAGTCACGTGGGATCGTGCAATTTCGAGGACAATGGAATATTAATGTCGCGATTCTCGTAAGTAGGATAGTTAAAGTTCACGAGGTTTCTGAGATTCGTGTTAGAACGGACCTATTGTCCTGACACAAGTAGCAGAAAGAGAGATATTATTATTATTATTATATTAAATAATGAATTAAACTACGAATTAGCTATGTTAAACGAATGAGACTACAACCGGTCGGTTGTCGGTGTGCATAGTGTTTCGCATGGAGAATCAGTATACGAGGTTTTAACATATGTGAGATTACTTCGAAATTGAAAAACACATCTCAGCCCTCCTGAGGAGACTCTCCGGTGCATCGAATAACGTAAACAATATCTCTCTTCCACTTTGCTGTTCATGCTGTCACGGCGACTGACGCCGCCTTAACGCATGCCGGATCGCCGGACAGGAAGATTTATCGTGAAACCGCACGAATTTGCGTTCAATTTGCGTCAATTTTTAAAATTTAATTCAGAGATCGTCGGAGAAAAATTGCAATGAAAATCAGACGGCACTTAAATAACTCGAATCGAATCATCATTCGCGCTTTCAAAAAGGCTGCCCCAACGTTGCCCGTTAATTATGCTTTATAGTTGCAGGGGATCGACGTTCGCTAGCGGTACATAATTACGTGGGACACTTGGATTTTTCCGTTTTGTGTGCGGATCTGCCGAAGCGGCGGATGGTCCAGCCTCCGTGCAAAATCTGGCCGACAATATATCGGCGATCGGCTCGTTTTTGCGTACGTATTCTTGAAGTCAGCTGAGATATGTACACCCGTCGTGCCGCCGTGGTACCTGCCGCTGACACGACGACGTCCTAACGGTATTCCTTCCACTGTAACAGGTGCTCAATACAATCTCTCTCGCGTACGAGCTTAAGGCCGGAGCCGAGCGTGTCTGCCGGCATACGGTGCGGCGGGGGTATCGGATATTCGTCGTTCCCTTTTTTCCCCCCCCCCCCGTGTCCTCTTCTTCATCCGAATTATTCAGCGACATTATATGGGTCAGTCGTCCGTTAAAAACACGTTTCTCGCGAGGTAGGCACGCCCCGGAGAGGACGAGCGCGCGAAACCCCGATGTACGCGCATCGCGTGCATCTTAATGTGCACCTCCGCGATATCGGACGCGTTTACTTTGTTGCAAAAGATAAGTTGCAAGTAGGATGAATTCATGCACGCGTGCGATTGGCCGCGAGTGCCGATGAAGAAGCATCTGTACTAAACATCACCGTTACTCTTTTCTCTATCGTTGCGTCCCCATTCTCAAGATGCTCTCCCTATTGCCGCTTCAGGGGAGTATTATTGCAGATGAAATAAATTTCTCTTAATTAGATCGTGAGTCTTGAGTCGCTTTTTTTCATCATCGGATGTTGGTAGTCACGGTTTATCGTCTGCGGTCGCGCCGTTCATTTTAACAGACTCAACCGCAGAAAGTTTCGACCGCGCAGATCGCGAGAAGATTAAATTCTTTGGAATTTATTATTATGTGGAGAGAACGCCAACGGGCGGATGGTTTGCGAAACGTGATTCTTTTGCTTTATAATCAACTTTCCTGAATTCGATGAATTTTCGTTGCCCGGATCGTTTCTCCATCATCTATATGAGAACGCGATCTCCCCGCAAATTTCCCCGCATAGACGCGCGTTGGAATCACGCGAATGCGAAGTTTTCGGACTTGATCGCGGTGAAAGTGGACGATTTTATTGTCGGACAGGCTCCAAGTGGTCTATGGCAATTTGGCCCGGACTTAATTCCGTATTCGATACGGATGTCTCAATGGAAAAGAAGGAAGAAAAAAGACGACGATGGGAAACAATTTTTCGTAGCTACCGACAACTGGGTTATGAGGTCGCTCGGTTCGCCACTGCCCAGTTTTCTACGAGAATCGATAAGATTCGAGTTGGCACACATGGGCACCTGTCTCGCGAGTAGAAAGCGCCCAAATTTTTGTCGTCGCCAATCGAGTCAGGTATGAATCTTTGACCGTGGAATCATTTCCGCTTTCATACGCAGAGGACGTGTAGATTGCGAGAGATACGCTTGGAATCGCCATCTCTCCGAAATGAATTAACGTTTTCGCAAAAAGGCGAACAAGTTCGCTCAATTGCTTTGTCCTTTTGCGTTACTCGACAAGACGGCGAAGAACGCATCGTGATTTTATCAACTTTTGTACTTTTAGGAGTGCTCATTTCTTTCTCTACGTTTATTGCCGCGCATAAAGCCGATCTTCGCGGTTCTTCTCGCTTCGAGAAGAATGATTATTGGGTGCGCGATCATTTCCTGAGACGGATCGCGAAAAAGAAGAAGCGAAGACTTTCACTTTCATACGGCGCCCAGCATCGGCTTACGTTAACGTTTAACCGGCGTAATGATGCGTCCAGTCAACAGCACCGCGAGATTTATTCTAAAAACTTTCCATTTTGCAATTAGCCGCAAATTACATAACAATGCAATTCTTTTTTTTTCGCACGCCTGTCGAACAGCGTATTTATATAACTTCAATCATCTTCTCCCGATGGATCTCTCTGCGTCATCGACTTTCGATATTTTACGACGTAATTTACGGATTGGACTGTAGACTATAAATTGAAGAAATTGTTCAACTTTCAAAATATTACAGCCATCATTCGTGTACAAGGCTGCAATAAATTTAATTACCAGAGTCGACATGATATAAATTTTCCATTAAGTATGCCAAATAAGAAGGTAATTGCATCGAAATAGCAGCCTCGAGGTAACCCGTGTGTTTACGTCCTGAAAACCTATTTTCACGGCCGTGTAATGTACCTACGCAACGATACTCTCAGAGGTATTGGTCAATGGACGCGGAATTTCTATGAACCGCGAGCGTAATATTCACGGTAAGTTTCACACTCGCTAGATGCAATTGTCACGCTCGCAGGCAATTTACGCACGCTCCCCGGCGCACGCTTTCTTACCTGAAATGGGATGTTGCATCGTAACTTGACGCAACGGCCGAGTCGCGAAAATGCTTCTCAGATCTCGCATCGCAACGAGATAGCCTACTTGCTATCGCCTAATTTCGTACATGTGTACTTCTTAATAGCAGTACTAGTTTGTTGGAGAGATAACGTTACCTCTGGCCATATCGCGCCAATCGAGAATTTTAATTGCCGAACAATTACATGATAAAAATTAAAGATGTTAAAATTTAGATATCAAGAATTCCGCAAGAATCTAATCACACATAAAAGTGCCAAAAATTAATTTATAAAATAAAGTTGTTAAAAAAAAATGAAAAAAAATTTTTTTTAATCCTTAAAATTGGACATGTTTATTCGAAATAAACATGTTCCAGGAGAAATATGGATTCGTGAATCCGAGACAATTCATTATCAGATGTAATACTTACGGATGAACTTTGTTATGACAAAAGTCACTCACCGGAAGAGGAGTCTCTGGACGGTCTGGACGGTCTTTGACCGAGAGGATGATGCGTCTGATAAGGCGGTGGCGTCGCCGCGCTGTCGGATCCTATGCCGCTGCTGGCCGCGCTTCTCGTGCCACCCCTGTCGATGGCCGTGCTACCACCCACGATGGTTTGATTCAGGCAACGCCTGAATTCGATGCCGGCCAGATTGCCGCGGTGCCTGTGCACGGTGTCGTAGTCGCGCGGCGGCAGTAGTATCGGGCCGACGTCGCTGTCGCCGGAATTACCTCTGCCTGAAACACGATTGTCTGCTTCGTACTCGCGTTGCCTTGACACGCATGACGTCCGCGCGCGGACGTTCGTTCTCTCGCGCGACCAATATCACCGACTGTTAAAGTAGCGTTACATGCTGACGAGAGAAGTGAATGAAATCCTCCGGAATTTCAGAATTTCATTCCATAAAATTGTTCCCCATTGAGTATAATTTTATTATACATTTTGATTTTGTTTCTATTTTTTTTTCTATTTTCCTATTTATTTATAAAATATATATTTTTGTACGATGTAGTATTTCTTCGAATTATTTTATTTTTTTTACCTTCTGATATATGCATGAAATTTTGTACCGCGAATGAAACGCGAATGTTCTGAAACAATATTCACCTAATTTTGCACGCAACTCGGCGGCCAAAGATTCATAAATGGTCGTGGTTTGGACCGGATCGTGTCTGAGCTCACCGCTACCTTCGGAAGACTCGGACTCTCTGGTACTTCGGCCGTCGCTGCCTAGATTGCTGCGAATTCTGCCTTCGCTCGCCGTGACCCTGGCTAAATTGTCGGTGTGTGACGCCAGCGCTTTCAACTGGCCACCTAACAATTCGGCAGTCTCGACCGAGTCGCATCTAAAATCGGCCAAGAAATAAAATGAAAGATAAAACGAAGTGCCGCGTTCATCAAAATGACGAGGTAGAAAATCGAGAAAAAAATGTATTCTCATCCTATTGACCTTCCACATTGATACCAGACGGAGAGAGAGTTTTAATTTCTCTGAAACTTCTTCGAGCCTTCTTTGAACAGCGCACACAAACGCTATACCGAGTGTCTCAAAACAATCGAGGAGCGGCAAACGAGATTACGTGGATAAAGCACGGTACAAAAATTTCCGTGTGTACGACAAGTGTGGGATTAAGACGCTCTGTTTGTTTGAAAAACGCGCGTGGAAATGCGCATCTTATTACATGTAGATGTAAACTCATGATAATACAATCGGCGTTCCCAGTGAGAAGAAGACCGGCTACACTTCTCATATAGGTCGTCGGTATACGAAATACAATACGACGTCGCGATGTATATAGTTGTAATATTTTGTTCGAGCCACCTCTCTATACAGCAAAATGTTCTTTAACGGGACTTTCATGAGCATACCAAAGAGATCGCGCGCCTTCGCGGTTAACTTCGATTGGACAATCCCTGTCGATTCTCGTAGAGCAGCGCTTATAACTTCGTTTCTGTCTCCGTGACGCAAAATAAAATTTCGATCGACATCGAGGTTTCGAACAATTACCTCAAACCAATTATCGCATCGCTGCGAAATAGATCATTGAACTAATAGCCTTGATAATTTGCAATTTAATGACAAGGTTGTCCCGAATACTTCCATTCGCTCGAAGCCTCATCGCGGCGATAACACGGCTGAGCTACGTGCGAAAATCGCAGGATTATGAAAATCATTAACGACCCGTTAAAATTACGAAAGTTGTTAATTAAAGAACGAAATGCGACTCGTAATGGGTGAGATCGAGGCGATGAACCGAACGAATCTCTATTTAACTGCGCGAATTCCTGGCGCGGATTTGATGGATAAGCAAGCTTAGCTGCATCTTAGGTTCCCATATTGCGTCTGCATTCTTAATAAAGGTCTCTACGCTCTTATACAAAGGTCTACATTCTTGTCTTGATTAATGAATAAACAATTCGTATACGTCTGATCGAGCGCGGAAAGAGAACAAAGCTAATTAGCATGAGAATTCTAGTTTCGTTTAGTCTTAATTTTTCAATTAATATTAAAATGTGTTAAAAGAGTTTTCTTTTTCTCAGATCAGGTTAGTTCAACCTTCGTTAATTCATTTTTCGTTATCATCGCTTATTATAAATCTTTATTAGCCTTCGTAATAATAAAATGACGTAGTTACCTGTACGCGTGCACGTGCACGGGATTGTTCGTCGCTGGATTTGGCAGGAGCAGAGTCGCAGCCACGATATCTTCTCTCTGCACGGCCGCCAACACCGCGTGGCCTGGTACCAAGTGCTTCACCGCCGACCTCGTCGAGCCACCAGGGTGAACAGTTTGTATAATCTTCAGACCTTTGTTGCTCACCTATCAATATAAATGCACTCCGTTCACTCCGTCGCTGGTTGCGAAGCTCGCGCGAATCCCTTGCGCAAATCATTGCTTTGTTTGCACCTCGCGAATCGCGAAGATACTCGTACGATACATTCCACACAATTGTCGCAATGTTTAAATGCATAATTAATAAAGTAGATAGGGATAGAGTAGATGAAGATTAATGATTAAAAGATACATGTTTCGAAATATGCCGAGAAACTTGAGAAGCCGTTCTTTGAATTTTCAAAAAGAAAAAAGACTGACGATCGCGCATATTAATTAATAATAAATTCATTATAATTATAATTATAATTGAAGCTCCTCGACATGTCGCGTATATTTCAGCTCT